CTCCGGCCGTGCCCGGGCTGGGAGCGGGACGGGGAGCGGGGCTGTCGGGCCCCTCCGCACGGCCCAGCGCGGCATTCGTGTGGGCAGACGGGGAGCAACGTGAGACCCGCTCGCAAAGGAGGCACTCTGGGTGCCTCTGCTTCGCTTCCCCGTTAAGAGTGCACGAGTGCAGGCACTCAGCACAGTAATGGGCCGTGCTGGGCTGCCTGCAGCTCATTGCACCTGGACTGCCAAATCCTCGTGCAGAAGCAGGGGTTTCTTTTGCTTGTTTGTTTCTCTGCTCACTCTGCTTATTTCCTTTCTGCTCAGACGCCTCTCCAACTTCCTCCAGTTCTGGAACCCTCATTCAGTACACCCCAGATTCTGCCACAAGCCCCACCACGGAAGATCCGTCTCCACATCCTTCTTCGCAGAAGATCAAGGAGGAAGGTGAAGGTGGGGTGAAGAAGGCCAAGAGCCGTACAGCCTTCTCTCAGGAGCAGCTTCAGACCCTGCACCAGCGGTTCCAGAGCCAGAAGTACCTCAGTCCCCAGCAAATCCGGGAGCTGGGCTCAGCCCTGGGGCTCACTTACAAACAGGTGAACATCTTGCTATGAGTAGATGAGTTGCACCTCTAATCTGAAGTGATCTTGCAAGCATAACCAGGATGGTTTTTTGTTTGTTTGTTTTTCCTTAGATGCTGGACAGACAGTTTCTCATTGCCTTATTTATGCCTTTTTTTTTTTTTTTTTGTGAGAGTGGGTGTGAAAAGCTGACCACTGTAAGAGGAAAACTATCTGCTGCTGTACAGGTGTTTTGAGAGCACATATAAGAGCAGGGCCACAAGCAGAGTCAGTCCTATTCTGTATGGATTAATGTTGTCCCTGATAAATGAGAGAAAGGCACTTGCACTGCCATAGACCTGTAGCCTTTGTGTCAGAATGGCACCTTCTCTTTCTCCCTAGAAAGAGAGCCACGGCAGCTGGTATGTGACTCTGAGGGTGTGATTCATTTCTGAGCACTGATCTTGATGTAGTATTGAAAAGTTGCTGCTGTACAAGCTGTGTTTCTGCAGTTTAATGCCTGGCCTGTCTTTCAGGCAAGGTTTTTGATGAGTGATGATGAAAGATCCCATTGTGATCTGAGCCATAAGAGATGCTTTTCCCCCCTTGCCCCCCCATCTTGTCTCAGCTCTCTGATTCTACTGCTGCCTGGGTCTGCTGCATATTGTTGTATACAATATTAGGAGCTGAGCAGTTAATGTTTGGCCTACTGTTATAATACAGTAAGGTATGTGGTAAGCTGTAAGCAAGAAAGAATTTCTAATGCGCTGTGTTTCCTTCTGCCCTGCTTTTCTAGGTGAAAACATGGTTTCAAAACCAACGGATGAAGTTTAAACGCTGCCAGAAGGAGAGTCAATGGGTGGAAAAAGGAACATACCTACCACAGGTGAAAGAATTTCCTCTCAACAGCTAAAGCAGTTCTTCTGTGGGATGAGACTTCTAGTTAAAACCAGATTGAAAACTAAATAGCCAAGAGGGCTTGCAAGGCTACTTTTGGTGGCTTAGTCCAGGGCTAAAAGATATGTTGGGCTAGAAATTAGTGACTTAAGGTCTTGTCCATGTCTGCTATTATTAGTCTATAGTATGGACAACCAGCATGGGAAAAAAAAAAAAAAAAGCTGCTCCCATTTTTTGAAGGGGGAGATGGGGAACAATAACAAGAACATGTTCAAAAGAATAGTCAGCTGATGTGATATTCTTTGTTACTTAATACCTTTCTCTTTCTCCCCTAGAATGGGTTTCATCAGGCTGCCTGTCTGGATATGACCCCTACATTTCACCAGGGCTTTCCTGTTGGTGCAAGCAGAAACCTTCATGCTGTAACCAATGTCCACCAGGCTTACAGCAGTGGCCAGACATATGGGAATGGGCAGAGCCTGTACCCATTCATGGCTGTGGAAGATGATGGGTACTTTGGAAAAGGTGGGACAAGCTGCAATACCCAGCAAACCATGGGTTTATTAAGCCAACAGATGAACTTCTATCATGGCTACCCTACCAATGTGGATTATGCCAGCCTGGAGTCAGATGAGACCTACAGCTTCCAGAGCACCTCTGACGGCATTGCACAGTTCTCAGGGTTTCCCATACGGCATCAGTACCAGGCCCCTTGGCATCCCCTGGGGACCCAGGATGGTTATGAGTCTTAGGTCCAAGTATTTTTTTTCTTCCTTCTCAGTGTTCTCTCAATTTCTAGGGTCTTCAGACATCCAGTTTTGATTCCTTTCTCTTCTTTCCCCATCTTCATCCCTATCCCAGCTCTATTCATTTGTGCGGCACAACACCCTGCTGCCTTGGGCTTTTCTGAATAAGGGTATTGTTCTGTGCATAGCTGACACCTGGCAAGCGTCGCTTATATTGTCCACTGTTGAAGCCTTACCTTCCTTTGCTGCCTCTTCAGCAGGTGATTTTTCCAGTCCTGGCCTTGCATGTCTTGCAGCAGAGCTTTGCTGGAGGAGAATATTCTGTGCTTCATCATATTTTTGTTAAAAAAGCACTGTTGTAGCCCAGGTCATCCCTGCTGTCTTGTCTGTTTCTGTTGTGATTGCAGTCAACTGGTGGTAAATTCTTCATCTGTGTGCTTTCCTCTGTCACTGAAGAGCAAAATCAGATCATCTAATCGCAGACAACCCAATCCAAAGTTAATTCTAGCTCTTCCTTCTAATGGGCAGGGTCAGCACCTGCCTGGTTGGCTGTCTTCCTGAGTAAATGGGCAGCTGAGGGGAGGGAAGGAGTGCAGGAAAGAAAAGTGGGAGAGTGCAAGACCCATAGAGAATTTCCCTGTGGTGCCCAAAGCTGCTGCTCTTTTTTGGGCCTATTGGCTCATTCAAGGTGATGTTTCTGGATTTGTTCTCTCGGGATTTGTTCTCACAGTTTAGATCTTCCCCTTCCACTTCTTTCTGCTGACCGTTGGTACCTTGGAGTGCCTTTAGGGTACCCTAAAGTGCCACTGTTGGAAGTGTGAGAAGTGTCTATGTCTAGCCATCCTTTTGAGTGATGAGAACAGTTTGCATATCAGTACATGAAAGCCCCCTAGCACTTCACAAAGACTGCACCACTAGAATGCAGCTTTACCTGGGGTAAAGGGGAGCAGTTAAGGAAAAGATTATGTTGTTTGATGTTTAATGTCATTTAACCTGGTGGAATCTGGATGTAGGAGGAGAAAATTCTGTTGGGTCCTGCTGAGGTCAGCATCCTAAGTGCTAGACCAGGATGGTTCTCTACTTTGTTTTATCCCTGTTTTAAAGAGTGTAAGCTAGTAAGACATTTATCCCTTTCCCAGAACTTAGTTGGTTATTTTCTATATTATTCTACTGAAAAGGGCACTGGTTGCCTCATCTGACATCAGCATGCAAATTCTGAATGAGAAGCTTGGAGAAACCTATTTAGACAAAGTGAGGGAAAACTCCAATTATTTTTTCAGTATTTCGTTATAAGAGAACGATCATCCCTGACAATATTGAGAAACTGGAATTCATATCCAACCTGGATGTGTGGAACTGACTTTTTAATGGGATATAGAGCTACAGAATTCAGTATGCCACTGTCCAAGAATGTAAAATGATGGTATGAGCTGTCAATAATGGTATGAGGTAGAGAAAGTGGAAATAGTTCTGTGGTAGGGCAGGTTTGTTAATGCCCGATTCTTACTACTGCAATCTTCTCCTCTAGTACTTGTGCAAGGATTGTGTATTGTAGTTGAATTTTGACTGCAAATGAGAAGTTTTACCATTGCTCTAGAATCATTTTTCCTGAAATGTTTTGTATATTTTTTTGAAGTGGTTTTGATCCTTTGTATATGTATGTGGTTTTTATTACTTTGTTTCTACTTAATGTTTTTACAAACTTGCCTGAGTTGAAAATAAATGACACTTTTACTATTACTTTCAGCATTATGGGTGGCTTGTATCCTTCATCAGAGAAGGCTTTCAAGGGAATGTGTGTGGGTTTTATTTGTTGTTGCTTTGTTTTCGGAAGCTTTAGTAGCAATACCAAAGAAAGTGGAGAAATGGAGCCTGGTTGTGTTCCTCCCAGAAGTGGCGATAGAAGTCTATAGGCAATAGACATCATCGGTCTTGTCTTTGATATGCAGGTACACTCCCAAATGCTATGTGCTCCCAAGTCTAGGCTTGGGAAAGAAAGAAGAGAAAGGATTGCAGTGATGCAAGCATTTTACAGGGCTGTGTATGGGACTTTGAACTGCAATTCTTCAAAATAACTGTTTGAGTCAAGGACAGGGACTTAGTTAAGATGAGAAGATCACAGATGGTCAAGAAGTCCTGTGCCATATGAGAATGCAGGCCTGTTGGGGATTCCTTTGGTACCTTACTGCACCTCAAATAGCAGCAGCTGTTTGTATGTAGATAGCTGAATTCTCCTGTCATACAGCTGTCTCATGCATTCAAATAAACATGTTTCCTTTCTTGTTTTGTTCCAAGACTGCATTTCTTTGCTCTTAACACTTAGGCAACACTTAGATACTGAAACACAGAAGGTATTCACATTAGGGCCGAGGCATAGCATTGGCAGTTAAGCAACACTTGAATACCTTCTGTGTTTCAGTATCTACATTAGGGCCGAGGCATAGCATTGGCAGCTATCTTAAACCCACCAATGCCTCTTTCTATTTGTGGAACTTTGGCTGCCTATTGACCCTTGGGTACTTGTTTGGCAGTGGGGGAGAGAAACAACAACAATGTGGAATTCACCTGCAGTTCTCTATAGATATTCCATTAGTATGGTGTCCATGGAAGCTAAGTTGTAGTCCATATTCAAATATGGACTACATATTCAATATCAGTGCTATTGTAACACCATAGCCAAGCTCCTGCCTGTAGTTTCAACTGGTAGAAGGAGTCTGTTCTTGTTAATTCTAGATTCATTATATCATGACAAAGCTTTTGGTCTGGCATGAAAATGTAGTTCTACATGTATTTGGACTGTCACTAAGTACAGATAGCTGAACTGACAGCTCAGCCTGAAAGTGCCATAGTCTTTTACTGAACAGAAGCAATTTGTATGGGTGCATTACTTGGCTCAGCTGTGCTAAGACGTGTGCTTTTCATTTGCAGTGCTGTCATGCTCCATGTTTCCAAAGGATGAATGTATGTAAGAAGATGAGGGAGGGGATTGCTGAGCCTTCATAGGAAGAGGAAATCTGAAGTGTCTGTACATAGGCTGCAAAGCTTGCACTGGAAAAAGTTATCTGGCCTACAACTGAGAAAAGGTCGGGTCCATGCAGTTTCCTTTCTTGCAAAACAAATACTCTTTCTCAGCCTGTTGGGTTTTTGTGTTCTAGACTTAGATTGGCTGAACTGGTTTAACACTGAAATATAGGTGAACCATACACCTATAGAGATCCTGGCTACCAAAGCCTTGAGTCCTTGCTTTAAAATGAGTAGCTTCTACTTAAAAAATAAACAAACAAAAACTTTATGGATTACCTGCTCTTTACTGGATGTGTTTCTCTTCCATTTTTCTGCTGCTAGGATGAGGAGGTGAAGTGCAGGTATCCAGAGCTCTACAGGAAGATACCCTCCTCTTAAAATGGGGAATTATTGCCAAAATAGCCCTGCAATTGAGATATTTTTGTCCTATGTGCTATAGGAGAAGGCTTACAATAGTTTGTGTTACTGTACCATGGGGACACTGAGGTTGAATGTTTCTGCATGGGTACCTTATTTCTCTGGATTGCTCAGTCCTGTGTGCATGCAGGTTTGACAAGAAAAGATAAACACAGAGCCCAAGGGAGCATGCAAAGTAGCCGCTGGAATTTCATCAGGTGGCCTGGGAAGAACTACTAGTAGTCAGGAAGTGTTTCTGGCAGCTATGGAATGAAGTAGGGCTTGGGTCTTTCATGCTACTAGAGCTTTTTCTCTGTTATCTTGAATCATCTCCATGTATGAAACAGCTGAACAGGTAATGAAAGCACTATTATCAAAACTGGTGGAGATGCAACTAATCCCGAAAGACTTACAGTGTAAAGATGGTTCATATCAGCTCCTTAAAGGAAGAAAGTGTGTGTCCACAAATGCCTTTTCTTGCACCTGGGATATATTACACCCCTGCCAGGGCTGCTGCTTGCTGTGCTGTGTAAATGATTTTTGCATACCACAAATATGCCTTGCCAGCAAACCTTTTTAGCTATATCTATCCTTAGGCAGTATGAAGCTTTCTACATGTTGATGGTTTATCCCCACATTTTATACAATGTAGCTTGCTGCAGGCCACACCAAGAATGAAGAATGAAGCTGCTTGCATCAACATTAGTTTGTCAATGCTGCAGGTGTGATTCCAGTGGTGCAACAAATTCTGTCCAATTTGAATTAGGTGGATTTAGTACAAACTGTCAATATAGACCAAGTTTTATTCTATAGGCAAGTGGATATTTGAGTTTGTCCCATAGGCAAAAGAGCGAGTGAGTAGTGTGATGCAAGCAACTTCATTCCTCGCTCTCAGTGTAGCCTGCAGCAATGTTTTACAAGGTACACGCTTCTGGTGGGTCCACAAGCAAGTTCCTGTCCAATGCAGATAAAAGATGTGATCTTTACTTGAATAAGCTCTCCCCAAAGGCATTTGTAAATGTTGTATTTAGTTATCTAACTGCACTGTGTGACTCAGGTTGAGCTAACAGTTTTGAAAATTTTCAATAAAACATTACCCCAGATATCATGCTTGACTTACCCTCAGTGCCTAATAACGTCCTTGTTGATACTGAGTAGTCAAAAGGCATAAGGGATCCAAACTGATGGCACTAACATTAGAACAAAAAACAAGCAAACAGTAACAACAAAAACAATCCTGCTTGTTTTTCTTGTACGGGGCATTTTGTTTTCATGTCCCGATTTTTTAAGACCTTGCCACAAGGTCTTATTTGTAGCCTCTTTCTGTAACCCCAAGGTTGAGAAGTAATTTCTCACTGTTAATGGAAAACCAGCTGCATGCCTACAGGGTGTGCCTCCAGCAGCTGGGATTTATCCAGATCAGTGAATCTCTTAAAAAGCTGGAATATCAAAACTGCTGCTACCTTAGGTGAACCTCAAGGTCACTCCAAGCCTCTGCTAGATAGTGGGGAAAGACCATAAAAGAAAGCAAGTCTTGTGTGTTCCTTTCCAGCTACCTGTGGCAAAGCGACTGCTAGTGTCAGGAGCTGCATTCTCCCTATTGTTACACAGAGCAGCAGGGATGCAGCTCCTGATACAGGCCGACTTCAAAGGACTCCTTTCCTGGAAATTGCTTACTTGCCTGTTTGAACTGTTTCAGGCTTTTTGTCTCCAGAACCACCTATGGCTATAAGTTCTGTTTGTGAATAATGACCTCTAGGAAAAACTATCTTACAGGACTCCTGAGGAAACTGCAGGAGTTGGCAGTCTTGGCATATTTTTGCTAAGATCAATAGTGTGGTTATCACAGCTGTCACTGTTTGCCACTAGAATTTTTCCTGCAAGCTAGACCAGAGGCACCACACTAAAAATCTAACTGTCCCAAAGCATTCTTGAGAGTATAGGGCACAGCCCTTGTCTTTCCAGAGAAGTATGAATGTATGGTTCCTTGCCCACCAGGACCACTTGCAGTGTCACCTTTCCCCTTCCACCTTTAATGGGATGGCATGGAAGGCTTCCATATCATAAGCAGGTTAGTACCAGCAGGTAGGCTCCACAAGAGTTGAAAAACCTCCTTACACTCCTTTGAGGGCCCTGATAATTGCTACTATTGTAATCCACCTTCTGATGTTAGTCAGGACCTTAAGGGTGCTTTTTAGCTAATTCAGTGGATCTCCACCCTCTGATGGGGCAGTGGTTGCAAAATATTAGGACTAGGACAAGTGTTGGTGTACATGTGCTTTAAAATGGATGTCCAAAATGCCTGAAATGCCTTATTTTTTCTTCAAATCATACTATACAGTTTTTACACCACAGCTCCATAAACAACATAGCTGTACAACCAAGGAACCAGCAGCTGCACGAGGAGTGGAGTAGAAGCAAACTGTGGAACAGTAGACGACTTTAGCAGTGTAACACCAATGCTTCTTATTGCTTCAGTCTGAGATATACCTGCACCAATTGTCTTCATTTTATATCCACCTTTTTAACCATGAGAGCCACTTCATTGCAATAAGACAAAGTAACCGACATCATTAAGGAGTCGGATAGCCCATGACTCAGGGATTTGGGCCCAGTTATTAAATACACTTAGATACATATATGTACTTCTATGCATTTAGACACATATATGATATTAACGTTAGAAATGATGATAGATCTGTGTTTTAGTCCAGTGCCAGTATTACATATCGACAATTGGAAGAAAATCTCTGTCCATAGTTTCAGGATCATATCAGGAATAACAATACAATGTGTTTGCTATGCTTATTTACTTTCCATCTGAGTTTCATGCTGCAATGCCCTGTTACAGTGGGGAAAAAATCACAGAAAAATACATAATCCAAATGAAAAAAAATTGTTTGCCAGATTAAATGCATTTTTAGGTTTTGTCAAATCGAAACACAGAAAGACACAACCTAGAAGAAAGAGCCTGATTGTCATTTCCTTCCTTACAAGATATCTCACAAGCCCACATCACAAAGGCTGCTTGTCCCATTTCCCTTAATAGGCTCTACATCAGTTCCATTTGCAGCTTCATCAGATGAGTGCTTCGCATGTGACAATAACTTCTCCAACCCAGTGAAAGATATGCGATGAGCACCTCTCCTTACAGGCCACATCTTTCTTTTTTTTTAATATATATATACACAGCTTTACTGCAATATTTATAGATGAGATTCCTAAAGGAATCCGTGCCTACTCTGAGACAGGCTATGAGGCCTATAATTTAGAAGTTCTCCAAGATAATCTAGTTAGCCAGACCACAGGTCTTGCTGTAAGAGAACTTGATTGTATGTGCCAATAAAGAAGGGTGTGTGTTCGTGATGCCCCTGAGTCAGAGAGCACATGAATAATGGAAAAGTAAGAATAAGATTTGACTCCCAGATACCTAAGCCCACCACATCCACAGTATTTAGGAATGATAGAGATGGTGACCAGGAGCAGTGTTTGGGAAAGGTGCCCCCATAGTGACCGGGTGGTGAAAGTTATAACCATCACCTGTCTTTGAGGCAGGATATTCCACACTTCCAGGATAGCTGTGATAAAAGTCTACTTTGTGCTGCGCAATGAAGCCCACTGTCTGCTGGACACTGCAGGTACCCCCGCCTTTGCCAAACATTCCCCCATCCTCGCTGGTCATGATTGTATAAGCATTTTGCCCTGCACTGTAATGCTGAAGCGGGGAAGGCATGCTTTGGATGTTGCTAGTTGCTGTGATCGGGTAGCCCTGGTGGAATTTGGAGTGCACATCCAGGTAAGAACTTGGCTGGAAGCCATTCTGAAAGGGAAAGACAGAGTGAATCAAACACACAGTTTCTGCACTGGCATGCACAAATCTTAAACATACTGGGGCTCTACTTCTTCACTTTTCATATTGTGTCTTGATCAACAACAGTGGAATAGAATGGCAAGGAAAATGCTATCTATCCCCACAGCAGAGTGGGATGTATTTTACAAGGAATACAGGTTTTCCCTGGAGCCATTTGATTTAAGTGGCATAGTCAATCCATGGCTAGGCCACCTGCAGAACAGGAAGAGTCAATGTCATATCTGTGTTCTTGTATTGACCAAACCAAAAGGCAGGATGAGCTGATATGTATATAGTTAAATTGCCTCAGTGGAGGGAACAGGAGGGCACTACAAGATTTCTCTGCCCACTCAGAAAGGTCATGTTGAGCCATGTGCTATATTCTTACCTGTGTGAGGCACTGAGCTCGTTCCATCCACAAGCTATGCTTCTGACACCTTTTCAGTTTCATCCGCCGGTTCTGGAACCATGTTTTTACCTGTGTGGGCAAGGGAGAACAGAGAAACCATGAGCAAAAAAGAGGGAATAACAAAAGTTCTCTCTGATTCACAAGTCCCAGAGAATCAGAGGCGAGTGACAAGATGGCATAGATATATAGAGAATATTAGATAAAACCCTTTAAGAGTTATTACCTGGAGTTACTGCCAAGGGGAGATGTCTGCCTAGCAGCCTCAGCAGGCTGCTACTGAATCTGCAAGGAGGATGTGTCATTATGTCCACATGAAAGTTATTCTTATGACTTGCCTTACATATTCTTTAGAGTCACAGTGATGATTGGTGTAAATTAGACCTACCCAGGTCCCTACAAGACATTCAGACTACAGTCTAACTGCTGACACACTGTTCCTGTGGAGTACAGGATGTACATGTGGGTACTGAAGGGAAAAGCTTAAAGGCTTACATTTTGTATCCAGCAGCTCTCAAATTCAAAGCTCCTTGCTAGGGTGATTTCCAGACCCATTTCCCCCAGGGCTGTGTCTGCATAGTGAGAGCAGCCACTGCAGGGATGTTGATTGAAGGAATTAGCAAATTATCCTGCTGGTTCTGCTCCTAACAGCATTGGCTCACTGTGTGTACCAGCATATGTGTGCATGAACAATGCACATACAATTACTTCAGTCACAGGACATTCAGGGGCACACAGGCCATCATGCCTAGTTCTGATACCCAAAATCCAGACAGATTTTGGATTTGCAACTGCAAGCACTTGTGCTGCATTTTTCAGGCAGAAAACTCTGGGACTGCATTCCAGGCTTTCTGTGAGGCTCAATGGTTCTGGGGAAAGTCTGCAAGGGCCTGCCAAGCCCAAGGTATGTGTCATTCCTGCAAACCACATGCGCATCACTGGATTTGCAATACTAATGCAAATGTCAGCAACAATCCCTTTAACTGCCATCTCACTGGGGTCTCAAGTCATGTGCCAGCCAAGTGACTGACTTTCATGTCCCCTAAAGTGCTTCAGATTTCTCTGCATGAACTGGGGAAGAGCTACTATGACCTGGGACTTCTTCATCTGCTCTTTACTGGGAACTCATCTTTGCTCCTGTCACTGTCTTACATGACCATTCAGCCATTATGTGACACATAACCATGGATCAAAGTCTCCATGTTTACCTGCTTGTAGGTGAGCCCAAGGGCAGCAGCAAGCTCCCGAATCTGCTGGGGACTGAGATACTTCTGGCTCTGGAACCTCTGGTGTAGGGTTTGCAGCTGCTCCTTGGAGAAGGCTGTGCGACTCTTGACCTTCTTCTCTCCCCCTGTGCCATCTTCTCCACTCTTCTTAGACTTAGCAGTAGGCAGTGGGGATGAGGATGCCGAATGTGGACTGGTGGCTGAATCTGGTGTGAACTGGCTGAAATTTCCAGAACTGGAAGAAACTAGGGATACTTCTAGAAATAAAAACATAACAGGGAAAGGTATAAGACATAATGAAGAGCTGTACAAGTACAAGTATGTTCTCTTTGTGCTGTAGGATGAGTTCAGAGCTCCTTATCTAAGAAACAGAAGCCATGTGTGAAGCAAAGGCCGGTGTATCCCTACTACCTGCATGGAGCTGTGAACACTGACAAATCCACTGACAGTGGGCAGTGTTCCAGAACAGACTTCCAGGATGACCATGGTTCCCTTTTAATAGGTGAAAAAGACAAGACATACAGAGAAAAATGAAACACACTGGCTCCCAGTATTACTCATTTGCATATCCTCCTTCAAAAGGCCCTAGTAATCTTTCAGGCAATCTTTCCTAGTGAGCTGTAGAGTGAAGAGGCCTAATCATGACTGAAAGCACAGCCCTGAGTTGGCAGTTTGGCTCCCCCATACTGTCTGCCCAAACATCTCAAAGACAGTTGGTAAAAAATGGCAAAGCAATCTCCATATTAGCTCACTCCTTTTTGCCTGTGGCTCTCATCAACAGACTGTCTCATTGCTGGACGCACATATAGGAGTGACCTATTAGGATGAGGGGGACTTTTAGCAAAATAAAGAGAGACTAGGGAAAGGAGAAAGGAAAGGTAGGTGTGCGAGAGAGGTGATAAGACTCAGTGATCTTGTATCAAAGACATGGGGACAAAATTCAAAAGTACAGAGAAAGCTGCCCAGACTCCTTCTCATTTGTCCTGGTACATATCCTAAGGGTGTCTCTGAAGGACAAAGCTGAGATAAAGATCTAAAGGAAAAACTTCCTAAGCAGTCTGGGTTACTGGTCCAGACAAAAGCTGCTCAGATGCAAAGCCATTCAGGCTGTTTGAATAGAAAAATGCTAACAAGGCAGATTACGTGGCTTTCTGTCAGGTGGCTGAGTGCTGGAGCTGGAGGCGAGGGGGCTGTCTGTGAGAGTCTGAGACCTTCTCAGGCAGTCCTTATTGAAGGTTTGGGAGTCCAATTCCCCTCTTTCCAACCTGCACTGCCAAATCTGCTCATGCATTCTTCCTCCAGATAGTCCTCTGGAAATCCTTTCCCATAGTGCATGCCTTTTCCTCCTACTGACATTTCAGGAGAGAGGCGGGTGAAGCGTGTGGGCAGTGACATTTAGGTATACGCCCTCACAAATGTTGAGTCCATCAGCTCCCAATCTCCTTCTTTCTCACCTTGAGGCCTGTGACTCAGAAGCCCACTGAAACATCTTCATAAACCATTTCCCCCCAAAACACATGCACAACACAGATTGCTGATGCCCTCCTGAGGAATAGGCTCCCTGCCCACCCTTCCAGACCTTTTCTTCTGTTCTCAGCCAATAAGTTTCTAAGGAATCCCTTGAAAGCCTTGGAATGTTTCTGGGCCTCAGAAGGCTGTAGAGTTATGTTTATGGTACTTTTTGACCTGTTACCCTCCTGACAGAGGCACAAGCACTCTATATGGTGCCTCCAACTCTTGGGATAGCTGCTTCCTCTCAATTATCTCCAAACACTAAGAGGCGATAACATGCAGCACGAGTTGTGTGGAGAGACAGGTGTGTACTGGGGCAGGTTGCTGGGTGGTAGGGAGCACAGTCATGAGAATTACAAAGTATTTCTGGCTACAAGGAGAAATGAGCCATAAAGAGAAGAGGTTCAAGTGCCTGGGGTAGTATATTCAATGGAGGAATACCCCAGAACCTGAGAGGAAACCAAACATCGGTGAACAGAATAACTAGAATTTAATGTGCTGACCACAGGATGCTTAGTTCTGGCAGTCTGTGCAATAAAAATTTTTGTAGGTAGAAAACAAGCACACTGAAAATATGGGCTTGGAGAAGAGGAATGTCTTCGGTCAGACAGGAACAACAGCACAATAATATTCAGCTAAACCTTCCACATGTCTCTGCTCAGCCCACCATGCAAAAGCCCTTCTTACAACCCACAGCTCAAGCATCCCCACAAAGCTGGCCAAAGGTGCTTTCTGTCCCCTGAGGAGACTGAAGAAAAGAGGAAGCAAGAAAAACAAGCATTGGAGAAACTGACATAAGCACAAAAACCTAAGTTAGAGCCAGTCCCCACCATCCCTTAATTGAAGACCAAAAGCAGTAGGCCTTTATTCCCAAGACCAGGCTCTCCCTGAAGAAAAGGGTACTGAAGGACAGTGGTTTCAAGCATGCCCATCTGATGCCCCTTTGGGCATCAATGAATCAATCTACCTTATGTCTTTATGGTGCAGGTTGCATGTAGAGAACGTAAACATTTGTCCAAAGTCCATATGTGGTTAAGTAGTGATGTGCCAAATAGGCATTAGTTCCTCTGGTCAAGCTTGTAGCTGTTGATAGCATGTGGCAGCTTAAATTGGTGCTTAGAAAGCTCACTCTCCTTCATCCTCTCCCACTATTAATGCTACAAGAGTGTCAACGTGCAGGCCATATTATGAAACTGGAAGAGGACCTACTTTCATTAACTGTTTTACTGGCACTCATTGAAATGGCAAAGGAATGCAAACAGCAGGAAAAAAAAAAAACAGTGAGGTGGGCCTTTGACTTTGCAGCAAGTGAAAGGCAGAGAGACAGATTCAGAGAAAGGAGAGGGAAACAGAGACAAGCTGGAAGATTTAGAGAGGAATAAAACTGAATTTAAAGGGAGCAGGTTTCTTGGCACGGTAATTCTGTGCCCGGAATGCATGAGCATGACTTGGCAAAAAAAAAACAAACAAAGAAACAAAAAAAAATTCAAGTTTAATGAGACATAAAAGCCATGGGGAGTTCTGCAAGGTTGCTAAGGGAAAGCTAGAACAGAAATACCTTTAAGTTTTGCTCCTCTTTAAGCACATGTGACAGCGTTTGGCTAAAGAGAGGCCCCTTATATACTTGCACTAAGAACCACGAACTTCTGCGAGACCGTGTTGTCACACTGCCTTTCAGCCTGGAGCACAGTGCCTGCACTCCCACAGGCTCAAGTGAGGTTTAGGAAACCAGCTCACAACCAACCTAAGAGAAGTAGCACGTAGAGGTGTTGTGACTGCCAAATTTAACCCATGATTCTCAACAACCACATTGCTTTTTGCCTGACACACATGAGAGGAAACTACAGCACAGAGAAAGAAAGAGGCTTGCCCAAGGTTGTTAAAAGTGAGCAACCTGTCTGAGGACATACGTATCCCAAAGAACAGCTCTAGGACTTAAATGCCTTACCTGCAGTCTGCCTCTTCTCTTCAGCCTCTGGAAACTGACTGCCCCTGGATGCTCCTGCTGTCCCAGCTGAGCCCGAGGCATGTTCTGCTTCTCCTGTTGAGTTCCAGCAGAACTCCAGGTACCCCATGCCAGTCCCACTGGGGTAAGCCTGGTAGGGGGGCAAGGCCAAGTGTGCACACATGGGGGCAGATGTGGGGTGGTTCCCCCGCCTTCCAATAGATGGCACCTCCACTCGGGGCAGGTCCTAGCAGCAAGCCCAAGCAGCCCCAAACTGTACTCAGAGAGTTACCTTTATAGCTAGCTGTCCCCTGCCTGGGAGTGCAATATCCACCATCGCTCACTTTGCAGAGCTCTTTGTCATGTTAAAGACGGCTGATTGGTGGGGTGGGAACACAGCGAGGCGGGGGAGGGCGCCACAGCCACGCAGAGCATTAGGACTAACAAATGACCCCCCTGAATTCCTCCTGTTCTGCAGGTCCCCCAGACACATCAGAACTGGGGTCTGATGCAGACTCCCAAGAAATTTCCTCGTTTGTTTCTTGGGGCTCAGCTTAAAGCCTTATACCATAAAACAGACTCATGAGGCTAGATCTCCTGTAGAAGAAAGTTACTCACCACACTGGAGGAACAAGTCCCAGCTAATCTCCACCACATGTGGGAGTGGATGGGAGGTGGATGTGGCACTGAGCTGCATAGTACCCTTGCAAAGTACCATGCTGGGCAAACCCCTTGTGTCAGGCTGGCATCCCCACAAGCACCCCCATATACCCTGGACCAGGCAGCACTTCTGCACTGCCAGTGCAGATGTTGGAAATGGAATGAGGGAGCAAGATAAGTAAGAATCAGACTTGGGAACTAGGATGTGTTTATTGTTTTGTTTTGTTTTTTAACCGGAAAGAAATTTCCAGCTATACAACACATTTGAGGGAGCCATCTGAAAATGTGTCAGGCCCATCTTCCAGATAGGTGTGCCAAAACAGACTCAGACTGGATAAGTTACATCCATCACCAAATATCATTGTCTAAAACAGACTCAGAAAACCCAGCTGGCTTGTCTACAGGTCAACAATCAGCAGAGGCACTTCACTATTTTTCATATGAGGTAGGAGAATGTCCAGAGCAAGTGAAGCCCACTGCTAACATAGTTGCTCATCCAGAGCCCATCAATGCTGGCCTTCACTGTATGCTTAGCTGCAGTCTTTGCCAGCCTGTCCCATGCTGATTGGAATAAAGAAGATGAAAAATTTTATTTAAGACAGTTTTTATTTTGCTGATGCATGGCCCACTCAAGTGGGACAGGCACATGCAAAGCTATTAATTAAATAACCAAAGGGAAATGAGTGACTCACAGAAATCAGCTATACATCTGCAAGTTGGTCTGCTCTATAGACCTGCAGTCCATGTGTTTAGTCTCTCTGTATTTAAGGAAGTTTTAGTTGTCCTATTGGGAGATATGCTGGGAGTCTCCAGCTAATATCTCTATTTCTGTATGTACACACAGAAAGTTCCAGGATTTGTTCAAACTTTCTAGAATTAGGCCTGTGTTTGTATGAAGACCTGTGCATGTCTGGTGTAGGAAACTATTGGTTGGCACTGAGAAAGTGTAACCTGGTTTAAATCTGGACTGTCTGTGCTCCTCCCCCAAGCCCTCGTTGCTTCACAGGTACACATTACTGCTTTTCCTTGAGCCTGTGCTAGCACCAATACCTGTTCCACAGGCCAGAGAGGGCAACCAACTTGCTGTGAGTGTTTTGAATATCAGCAAGAAGAAGAAACTGGCAGATGGAGGTGAGCAAGACCATCAGAAATGGGAGTTAGACCATATTAAAAGGATATAGAGCAGTACTTCTACACTTTTCCCACTGATTTCTGTTCTGTGACAGATCACTACCACAGCTTGCTAATCTGTAGAATAGGGATAACTTGAAATGTTCTGAGATCCCTGGATGAGAAGCTAAAAGGAACTGCTATGGACTAACTAATGACTGAATGTGAAAATCAGTGCAGTCTCTCTCAAGTCATTTTGAGCATCCATCCATTTAAATCCACCTGCCCCATCACAGCATCATTCTGCTGCCTCAAGGATGAAGACTGTGGGGGCCTAAGGACTTGGGTGGATTCAGTATTATACTTTCATGTGTGAAACACTCTTTCTATGCCTGCAAAGTAGAGGGGCTGACATTTCTCTGCACAAGAAATTATGTTTTCAATATGAAAATCATCTGAAAAAACTTAAAGGGAAAAAAAAAAAGGCTTTAAACACATCTGTCCCTGTTCTCTGACTGCACAGTCCTGGGAACATCCTGCATATAGCAATTACTCTGCAATGGCCTGGTGCTTTTGTCTCATACCTCACTTCTGAATCATTTCAGAGCTGCAGTGGCATAAGAATTCAGATCACAGTCCCTCAGATCTGCCCTCATGTCCTAACTACCTAAGCAAAGGCAAAGACACCAAAGGCATGAGCTGTACAGAGGTCAGGATCCCACCAGGCAGTTCCACTGCCAGCCGATCAAGAAGAATGGAAAGTGCTCCTGTTCATGTCTGGCCTGTTACAGTATGCTGATGTTCAAGTTTTCATGGCCTTAGGTGCAGTTAGAAAAGCTGAGTAACAGATCTGGAGGATATCAAAATATTCTCTAAGACTATTTAATCTGAAAACTTGGCAGGAGACATGGAAAAGATCTCAGGTGCTGGTTTTAGTGGTACTGGATATCTATGACCTCACAGCATCTGCTGGGAGTCTCACTGACCGAGTACTTTGTTCTTGATCTCCTTGATTTCAGCTACTTCTGAAGGTGTCTGGGTGTTCTTGCAAAGTGCCTAGAGGCCATAACAAACCAGCATAGTCACCTGCATTACAAAGTCCTGCTGCATAGGAGGAATGGAGCAGCCCCTGGGAACACAGCCACCAGCAAGACGGGACCAGTGAGTGCAAGAGCACAAAATGAGTCATCTCCCTGGGGAGGTGGACTAAGAGGCAAAGGAGCTGAACAAAAACTTAAAATGCTTTTCCTCTGTGGTTTCACTGTAGCACTATCACTCACAGAGCAGCTTCTCTCCTGCATGCAGCATAGGACATTCAGCCTTTCAGACATTCAACCCCAAGTGCAGGTACCAGACCAAATCTGGCTGGACCTCAGGCAGAGCTAGACTCCAGTTTGTTTGGTGCTGTGCTCAGGGTTATTCCAAAGCTGTGCCCAGCTACTCATCCTTTTCCCATATCCTCTCTGTGAGGCCTGGCCTTTCCGGGCTGATGCTTTTGGCTCAGAGGACTTTCTCAGATCTTCTGTTTCTTGAGGCTGAAAGCCCACTGGAATAAAAAGAGGTGAAAGTCTTCACAAGCAATTTACTAGCATAGATTTTTTTCAGCAGCAAGTCCTTTCTCTGAGGTAACAGTGAATGCTAAACAGTCACAGCAAATGAAATAGAAGTTTGTAAATGACTGCTTCCTTGAAATCAAGGCAGTAAGGTAAGAAGGCTAGTAATTAAAAAGTTTGAGAAAGAAGGGAAAAAGAGATATCATAGCTAACTGTCACCACGTACTAAAAGGTGTAGTTGCAGCTCATGTTGACTTATCTGAGATAGATAGCCACAAATGGGCCTACTCAGATGCTACTGACAACATAACTTGCAAGTGTAAGCGTCAATGATGACATGAAGGACAGGAGAAGCTGCAAAAACTACCCTAGGACTCTGGATGTCATCCACAAGATGCACAAGCAGAGAAGAAGACAGAGAATGTGCTCTTGGGGCTTGTGTAACAAGGTCCTTTCTCTGGCACATCACATTGTTGTGTCAATATTTGACAACTAAGACAAAATCTGCCTTAACGCTACCACTATACCCGAAAAACACTAAATGTGGGCCTGACCTCAGCAATCTGTGCTCACTGGGCAGCACAACTGGTAAATTTCCACAGACTGACTTGCACTACTAAATCATTCACTGCTAGAAGCATTTGAGCCATTCAGTCTCCAGGTCCTTAACAGAAGACAGCTTCAGCAAGCTGGTGTAGCTACAGCCATCCTAGATGTTGTGCTGGCACAAAGGTAGCAGCTAATGAGCCCAGTTCAGCTATGTGAGCATCTTTATCCAGCACAGACACAACCTTACACAAGACATAAGAGAATCTGAGAAAGCTCCAGTGGAACTTAGCAGACTAAGAGCTAGAAGTCACTGGATTTTGTATCCTTCCTGTCCCCAGCTCACTGTGTGATGCTGCACAAGTCACTTCCTCGCTCTCTGCCTTAATTCCCAGTTTATAGAAAAAGTATTTTCCCTCTTCAATTACATACTTGAATTTTCATGTGGAAGTCAGTTAATCATTTATGACTTAAAGCTCCAGCTAGAATGGCTCTACACAAGTTAAATGCTTCTTGTCGGCCTACCTCAGACCTGTATAGCTGTAAGATCTCGTTATTTAGAGGCAGAGTATTCTTTTCAAGAGCTATAAAGGTTTCTGAGAGGGAAGGAGTAAGGTGTCTGTAAGGTGTTATTATGGCCCAGTCCCAGCTGAAGATTTGCCTTGGCTTTCTTTATTCTTTTACAAAAGGCAAACCACTCTGAAGAAGACATAAAAGATGCCAAGAGCTTCTTAGTTCTCTGCTGGCTGGGAACCGTGCAGCACAAGAAACCTGCAAAGTAGTTGATGTTAGGAGGGGTGGAAGGGAATGCTAGTAGACTGGAAGGATTTCTAGTGACTCTGGAATGAGTTAAGTCTCCACCTTAGGCTCTCTGCTTTCCTTCTCCACACTGATGTTGATACCCGCTCTGGTCTTAAGTTCAGACTTCTACAATACATCTGCCTGGCCAGAAAGCCTCCTTGTGGAGATACAGCAGCAGAGATTACCAGCAGAGGAGTTTTCCAGACCAGCAAATCCCACTTTCCAAACAGACAGAAACACTCACAATGGCTGGTTTTGGCAGGAAAGCTGACTATGCAAGGTTCAAAATCAAATTCAGCACAGTTACACCTGCAAAATGTTACTACAACTCCTTTGGTTACATGGTCTCTGCCTTCCATTTTCCACATCTTTTCTCCACACTAACAAGTTATCCATACACTCAACGTTTCCAGATGAGGGATCACAGTCTGTTCAGAATTTCAACAACAACCATTTAAACATTGTTGTTCATCTGAAATGTGAAGGCTGAAGCATCTGAGAACATGAATCTTTT